AGCTTACCGCTTTGAATTGAGCTACGGCAAGCAGATAGTTTTGAACACTGGCTGGTTATGTATTTTTTCAAATATGTATTTTGGATAATTTTTAACCCCAAAAAAGCTACGGACTGCAGCTTAAAAGTATTAAAATTAATAAAACTAAAAATAAGGGAAAAAATTACGCTAAATAGAAAAATGAAAAAACTAATAGATATGTCAAAAACAAAACCCAAAATTACTAAAACAGAAACATTTAGATGAAAACATTTTTGGGGTGAAATGTGACTTGGACATGTCTTTGTTAGATTCGTAAATTTACATTCACTGTGAGAGGGCATAAATATGCTCATCCTCTCTGAGCAGAAGCCTGCAGTGCGTTAATTCAGCTCTTTAGTGAAAAGCCTGTGGTTTAAGTATTATCATTATAATGACAACATGGAGGTGCCATTTCCTTTGACTTGCAATGTCTGACTGTATGTGTTTAAGCTTAAAACCATGTAAAACAAAAGAGGAAATTACTTTCCTCGTAACGTTACAGAGATGGCATTTCCAAACACTTAAATGAGGGTTTGAATGAATTTAAAATATAATGCAGGGGGCAAATTAAATCTTTTCTGACAATAAACTAGTCCCACACTAGCTTGCATAGATGAGCATTACAAGTCAATACATCCCGTGAGACTGACTTTTCCCTCATCCTTCCATCAAACACAATCTCAGTGATTCCTCACTCTATGCACTCTTACACACGAAGACCATCTGGAGCAGACAGGACTCGGTCTCACATACTGGGCTCTACTGTCTGCTGTGCCTCAGGCTGCATCACAGGGCTGATGCTCACAGCTCTGCTGTCACTTTCTGCACTGCTGGCAGCTGTGATTGCCTGGAGGGCTCTGATCCAGACAATGCATTGTCAATATTATGTTTGTCACCCAATGTGTGTCAGTGAGCTTATACAGCGGCCAGTAAGGTCAGAGTAAATTCATTCATTTAACACACGCTTACTGACTCACTTTAGGTGTTTATTTTGAAGGGAACCCTTTTAGGTCACACAGAAGTGAAAACACTGTAAGTCTACATAACAGGATACTTTCTTTGGTTGAACTTCTTGCTGATTTAGAAAAAAAACAAAGAAAAAAAAAACAAAATATTATTAAGCAAAAATGCATTAAATTGTTCAAAAGAGACAGTAAAGTGTTTTACATTGACACAAATGATTTAAATTTTAAATTAAAGCTGTTCTTTTGAATCTTGAAAAAATTGTATCATGCTTTCTACAAAAATATTAAGCAGCACAACTGTTTTCAACACTGATATTTAGAAGAAATATTTCTTGAGCACCAAATCCTCATATTAGAATGATTTTTGAAGGATCATGTGACACTGAAGACTGGAGTAATGATGCTGAAAATTCAGCTTTGACATCACAGGAATAAATCACATTTATGAAAAAAGATATTAATATAGAAACATTTTAAAATCTTACCGACCCCAAACTTTTGAACGGAAGTGTATATTTTACAGCAAAGCTAGATTAACATTAACTATAGAAAAGTTTTATATTTACTATAGATTTTTCCTTGGATGAAAAGCACAATTTTATAAAAACATGATTTTTTTTCAGGTCTTCTATGACATTAGAAGTACAAGTACATATATATATACATACATACAGTGGTGGCCAAAATTATTAGAACGGTAAGATTTTTTAATGTTTTAAAAGAAGTCTCTTCTGCTCACCAAGGCTACATTTATTTGATCTAAAATACAGCAAAAACAGTAATATTGTGAAATATTTTTTACAATTTAAAATAACAGTTTTCTATTTGAATATATTTTAAAATGGAATATATTTCTGAATAAAACTGAATTTTCAGCATCATTACTCCAGTCTTCAGTGTCACATGATCCTTCAGAAATCATTCTAATATGCTGATTTGATGCTCAAGAAACATTTCTTATTATTATCAATGTTGAAAACAGTTTTGTACACAACTGATTATTTGATGAAAAGAAAGTTCAAAAGAACAGAATTTATCTCAAAATAAAAGCTTTTGTAACATTATCACTACCATTCAAAAGTTTGGGGTCAGTAAGCTTCTTTTTTTTTTTTTTTTTGGAAAGAAATTAATTTTAAATTAAATTAAATTGTATTAAGTGACAGTATAAACATTTATGTTTTTTCACAAAAAAACATAATTTAATAATTAATAATTTAACAGCATTTAAATGCTGTTCTTTTGAACTTTCTATTCATCAAAGAATCCTGAAAAGAAATATTTCACAATATTACTGTTTTTGGATGAAATAAATGAAGCCTTAGTGAGCAGAAGAGACCTCTTTTAAAACATTACAAAAATCTTACCATTCTAATAATTTTGGCCACCACTGTACATGCATACATACATAAATTCATGGTGTCCTGTTGTACTATGAATAGAATCTAGTGTCCTCGTGTTCAACCTCAGCTGTCATAGCACACATGACGTGTTTGATGACCACAATCCGCATTGGCCAGTTCATCAGCCGTGCTTGGACTGGTTGCTAGGCAACACACTCAAATAGTCACTTTCTAAATCTGGGATGAGCTGGTCTGTCATCGAAGACAAACCGAGCACTGGAGTCCAGCATGTGGTCACTCACAACGCACAGAAAAACTAGACAGAGGTTCTGTACTGTCTCAATCACACACAGACACATACGCATACAGTGCTCACACAAGACTAATACACATCTGTACACTGTTATACACTGACTACACAACCATCAGTGTTGAGACTAATCAAAAGCTTGAAAATTCATGCATAGGAATGGGTGTGAAAGGACAGGTGGTTTGAATAAGCATTCATGTACGCCAGTCATATGAGACCAGTGATTTCCACAAGTGTCATCACGCACCTTAACACAACGACACAAAGACTCTATCTGCAGTTCTGAATACTGAAAAGGATAAATGTGTGATATGTCAGAGACTGATCTAGGAACAGGCAGTTGTATGTAAATGAAGCCAGCTTTTGATTAATACACAGTCAAAAGCTTTGATTATTACACACATATACAGACAACTTTTGTCAATATGCCAACAGACAGCAGGAGAGAGTTCACCATGCCAACAGGGCAAGGGCTCTGGATGTATGGATGATCTGATGAGTCAGGAAAGAGCACTATGATTATGCTAATGCTAAAATCTGATAGCGGTCAGCCAACAAGACCATCTGTCCCTGCTGGGGCTCGGGGGGAAACACTGAAGACAGACCAAAGCGTTCAACACTCACTCAGTGCCACAGAGGAAAAACACAATGGTCTGATCACAAAGACAATCGTGTGTGTGTGTGTGTGTGTGTGTGTGTGTGTGTGTGTGTGTGTGTGTGTGTGTGTCAGTTTGTCTGACATCATTGCCAGTCAGGGATTTCCGTAATAGCTGGTGCTTTAGAAACACTGTATGCTTTTCAGAGGAACTCTTGTCTGATGGATATAGAAATACATGAAACTGTGCTCCATTACTATCACTTGACACTATATCAAGACCTATAATTATATCCGTTTTAAGTTAAGTATCTGCTAATTCTAAAGTTTTTATCATTATTAAAGAAAACTGGAAAAAATAAGAAAGATGGGACAGGATTATTTGACTAAAAGTCTATCTGTCTATAAGGGTTATCTCTTCTGACTAAAAGAAGATAACAGTTTTTGATCAGTGGCTGTTTCAACATCCAACCGAGGTCAATTAAACACCAGAAGACATGTTAAAGCGTCGCTGCGCAGGCCGATCAGTGTATGAGATCAAAGTACCGCAAGAGCTTTTCGAAAGCATACATAGCCGCCTGCTCTCTAATCGCTCTCACGGTACTTTGATGTCATACACTGATCGGTCTGCGCAGCGACGCTTTAAGTGTTCAATAAAATAGGGTTTCACAACCTGGGGGTCGTGATCCCCACCAGAGGTCGCCAGAGATACTTAGGGGGTCAAAAAGCCTACTTGATTATAGGGAAACTACATTTAGACTAAACTAATTTTGAAACTAACCAAAATTAAACAAAACTACATTCTGTTTTTAGAATGGAAGAACATGTCCTGCATGAACAACCTATGAAGCATATGACTCGAAAAAAGGGGGTTCCTAATTTAAAAAAAAAAAAAAAAAAACTGCAATAAAACTAGATAAATAGTTAGTGAAACACAGAAAAACTAAAAGAAAAAAGTGCAAAACTTTAATATAATACACTATAAAGACTAAAACTGGTCAAACAAAAACCTACTGAAGGATGGACACAGCTAATGCACATCTAATCTGAACTGACTAAACTGCACTGCTGAGACAGGTATTCTAACATGTGTCTCTCTGTGTGCAGTTTAGTCAGTTCAGATTAGATATTTATGGATTAATGCATTAAGGTAATTATTCTGAGCAATTGAAACACCTTATAATTAAAAAGCAGTACAAGTGAGTAATCTCCAATTATCCACCAAACCAATTTAAATATTTCAATCTAGTAAAGCCTCAAACAATCCATTACATATAATTTAAGGGATAGTTCATCCCAAAAGAAATTCTGTCATCATTTTCTCACCCTCATTTCATTCCAAACCTGTATGACTTACTTTCTTTTGTGGAACACAAAAATTGTTTTAAAACTAAATGCGGTCCAAACAATATTGCATCCCATTTGTTTTTTATTGTATGAAGAAGAAAAAAAAACACAGTTCTTCTATTGTGTTCCACAGAAGAAAGAAAATTATACAGGTTTGGAATGACGTGAGTGTAAAGAAATTATGACAGAATTCTCATTTTGGGTAACTTATTCCTTTACTAAACCATTCAGAAATCAGATAACAGACAACGCTTCTAACATATCTCAAAATCTTCTAAAACTTCTCACAACGTTTCACTGTGTTGCACGCACTACAATACAGCTCAATACCAAATGAACATTTTATAAAGGGAGCCTAAGTAGTAAAAGTAAAAATAGAAAGACAGGTGAGTTTACATCAAAAGCAACTACTGACCACTTACCTTGTCAAAGAACTCGTAGAGTCTGACAGTCTTGTCAATTTTATCCTTGGTGTCCTCCACTCGCTGGGAGAAATCATGTAGATGGACCCAGAATGAGCGCACTTTCACCTCGTATACCTGCAGCTCTGCAGAGGAGATGTCTTCCCACTTCTCTAAGCGCTTGAGGAGAGCTTCACCGCTCTTACAGTGCTCCTGAACACACACACACACACACACACACACACACACACACACACAGTATTACATAGTGGAATGGTATGAAAGCATAGGGTGCGACTGAGGTGACTACATTTAAACATTGACAAACGCTCTTGAAACTCATGTTTACACAATTAAGCAAATGTTTGACTCCTGCAGTAAAATATTATCTCTCGGCCCAAATAAAAATGTCATGAGGCATTTTTTGACAAAATATGAGGACAACCCCGACCCCAAATGCAGATGCTGTGGGGAAGGGTTAAAGTGCTGTGTAAAACATGTTTAATACGAGTTGACATACATATGCAGCAGCGTAAAATTCTCTGAAGACAGTCTGTTTATGATGTAACTGCTCCAAGGACTCTTCCAGCTCACTCAGTGTCTGCAGACGAGACTCTCCCACCTCCTCTATCCACTGACTCACCTAAGAGACAACATACACATACAATCAATTAACCCTGCTACTTTCCAGCTTTAAGTAATTCTTTGGTTCACACCAAGAATGTCAATTATAACGATATTAGTGTCAACACCAATGCACGATAACATTGTTTATTATAAGCACGCACTGCAGTTATGTCATCTGCCGCATGAAACGCTCAAGCTCTTTAAAGCAGGATGGGTTCTGATCGGCTGTCAATGTTTTTATCGTTCATCAGTTAGAATTCTTTTTTCTGAATGCTATTTCAATGATAGTTCCTCTGTATCATTATAGTTGTGTTGTGGACTTCTCTATACTCATAGAATTAGAATGTTTAACTTTATAATTATCATTATAGTTATTGTTTTTGCTGTGAATGGGCATTTACTCTGTTATTCGTAACATATTTGCTTCTTGTTGTCTGTGACAGTAGACTTTGGCAGTAGACTGAAACATGAGCACACAAACACATCAATCACATGTGTGTCATCTGATACAGATGCTATGGTGCTAGTTTACATTTTCTCATGATGTGCATGAATGTGTGTGTGTGCTCGGCTAATCTGTTTCAGCAACTTCCACTATATCCATGCCAACAGGATTTCCCCCCCTCTTTCTACCTGCTAGGCACAATCATCCATTAAGACTTTCAGATGAATAAATCACCAAGGCAGTGTGTAGCTTAGTAGGGCTGTTTGTGAGTGAGTGAGTGAGTGAGTGAGTGAGTGAGTGAGTGAGTGAGTGAGTGAGTGAGTGAGTGAGTGAGTGAGTGAGTGAGTGAGTGAGGCCCCGTCCACACTACTGCGTTTTCGTTTAAAAACGGAGACCTTTTGCTACATTTGCACCTCCCGTCCACACTAAAACGGCAAAAACGGAGACCCAAAACGGAGAAGTTTAGAAACACTGCCGATCCGTTTTTCGTTTTGAATCTCCGGAGGGCGTTTTAGTGTAGACGGGTCAAGACGGAGGACTTTAGAAACGATGACGTAGTAGAGGCTCACGCTCGGCTCTATGATTGGGTGTCATCAGTCATGGCGTATATCTTTGCTAGCAGCTGTTGTACAAGTAAATTCTGCATTTTACAACGCTATAACTGCCTACATGCGCCGGAGTCAAGCTATTATTCGAGCGATCTGTGACAATTCCCGTGTGCAGCGGCGGCGTTGACCGTACATGGAGCGTCGGTTTGGGGTTAACCCAGAGCATGCTGGGATCATTTTATCAATGAAGTTGTGTTTACACCGGCACGCACATGCCCAGTGTTGGTGAATGGTCACGTGATCCGCGTTTTCAGTCGTTTTAATGTGGACGGAGATCAATTCTAATACGCAGCTAAAACGCTGGTGTGGACGGAGATCGTATTCGTTTTAATTATCCGTTTCTAAACTAAAACGCAGTAGTGTGGATGGGGCCTGAGTGAGTGAGTGAGTGAGTGAGTGAGTGAGTGAGTGAGTGAGTGAGTGAGTGAGTGAGTGTTTGCAGCACTTCAGTACAGTATTCACTATTTTTCAAGTGTAATAGGTAAACTCAAAACTAAGAATAAGCCTTGAAGACACAAACTGCCCAGATGTGTAGTGGAGTTCAAAAGTCTGTGACTATTCGTGCAGAAATGTTTCCCTTTTGAAGTCTTTACTAATATAACAATCTATTTCTTCAAGAAATTTGTCATTATCAGCAAAAACAATTTAAGTGAAAAGTTTAATTGAATTTACAGTAATTTCAGTATTTCTCAGTAGAACTCTTAGTCTCTCACTTGCATTAATGGTTTTATACTTTAATTTATTTAATGATGAATTTCTTTTCTAAATGTAAATTAATTTATTTTTCTATAAAAAAAAACATTTGATGTAACTTTTTCTTAGTTTAATAATAAAACTTTGTTTATTTTCAGGTTTAAATTATGAGAAGTTGTCACATTAACATGACATAACATGGAATGTTTTAATTAAAGAGAAAACATATAGTCCCATTATAGTACCAGCAAGTCTCACACACCGCTGTTATTGTCATCTGTCATGAATCGAGTTCATAAAAGCAAGTGCAAAACCTTGGTCCTCACCTCTCTGAATCCCTCCTCCAAGGTCTTAAACTCCATAATGAATTCCAGTTCCTGTGTGCATTTGTTGGACAGCATCACCAGTCTGTGAACCAGCTCGTCCACTTGGTTATACAGATGTCCTGCATTCTCGATGGCATCTCTAAAACACACACCAAGAAGATTTCAGTAGCATATTAAATTCAGTCTACATATTGTCTTGACTTTGTTTCTATTCCCTGAGAGAAACTCCAGGCATCTGAGCTGTGGAGAAAACACTGACTGCAGGACTCACATCTCATTGGCTGAGACAGTCTTATAGAATATATTGATTGGACGAGGCTTTGAATGTAATTGGATGTGCAAATTGTGATCTGGCAATGGGAGACAGGGCATGGAGAGAGAGAGAGAGTAAGAGAGAGAGAGAGAGAGAGAGAGAGAGAGAGAGAGAGAGAGAGAGAGAGAGAGAGAGAGAGAGAGAGAGAGAGAGAGAGAGAGAGAGAGAGAGAGAGAGAGAGAGAGAGAGAGAGAGAGAGAGAGAGAGAGAGAGAGAGAGTGTGTGTGTGTGTGTATTGTATAAGAAAGAAAAAGAGCATACATGAGAGAAACAATGTGATTAATTGACTGTACTGTATACATGTGCATATAAGTATGTCAAGAAAGTATTTATTTTAATGAATAATTGTGAGAAAATGTGAGTAATGGTACATTTTTGTGTATCTGTATGTGAATGTCCAGTGCTGTGATACACAGTGACAGAGCACACTGTGCACAACAGAAGAGGTTGATGTCTACTGGATGACTTCATCACCGCTGTAGTTCACTTACACAATAATCTATTGTGCTCTAGTCAAACATTTATACATTTCCCCAACGATATGCCAACATTTCCCCAACGATATGCCAACTAACTCAGCCAAAGAGTTATCCACTCTCTGATCCATACACAACATCAATGTCAATTCATACTTTGCACGTGACGTCACAAGTACTGGCTGGCGGGCAAGAACGTCGTTCTCCAGCAACGAAACCCAGTAAACTAATCAAGGATCTTGTCAGGACGTCGCCACGTCGTTTTACTATACAAAAGTTGGTGTTTTGAGGTTTGTGATATCTATGGTTTTCAATGAGAACCAGAGATGACCCAACAGTAGAGCTAGATATGATTTACGGAGGAATTATTACTGCTCGTGCTCGATTATCTTAAAAAAACTTGTCTGCTTTACACAATTTAGCTACCTTGGAGTTAATCCTATTTCTAGTCCATAGTTATGCAGCTAGCTCGCTAACAGACTTGATAGCTACTAAAAGACCCATAAGACCTGGAACTACAGGACTCTACGGTGAAAATACTGGTTTGTTGCCCGCCAGGTATCCATGGTAGTCACGTGACTGCAAACTATTTTTGAGGAGTGCCACATTCCCATTTTGACTGTCAAAAGACTTATCGAAGCATGCAAGACTTATTAATGCAGACAGACATGTGGCACATGCATAACAACAGCCAAAAAAGTGTGCCCCCTGCTGTTAGATACACAGATGCAAACACATATTCACATGGTTTTAAAAGATTTTCAATAAAGTTATGTTGTTTTGTTTTTGAGCTTGACAGCCCTATTCACTTACAATGTGAAAGAGAGCTGCCACAGAGTTCTACAGCAAAAAAAGGTCACACAGGTTCAGAAAGACATGAGAGTCAGAAAATGGTAACTGAATTTTAATTTGGCTCAACTATCCCTTTGAGGTATTGGTTGATTTAAGCTCAGTGTTGGAAAGAATATATGTGTTACACACAATGAGAGGCATGAGGGGCAAATCAGGGACCTCAGAGTCAGTCCAAAACTCATCAATTATTCACAGCACACACCCAGAGCAAACACGGGTTATCACAGCACGCAGGGGATATCAAAGACATTCCAGCAAGAGAGAACGACAAAAGAGTGAGTGAGAGAGATAAGAGTCTAAGACGGATGTACGAAAAATCAGAAGCCTTCATTACCAGCTCAATAAAGCATTCAGACATAGTATTGTTGATTAATTGTGTTTGGTAGACAGAATATGAATGAACTTGACTGTTTCTATATATATATATATATCCAGTATTACTATACACATCTATATAGATATACCTGGTGTCTCTAATAATAATAATAAGATTAAGAATAAGTCAACAATAATCACTGATAAAAATGTAGCCAATGAATTATTGTTATTAATTTAAATTAACAACAATACTAATAACATTGTATTTATTAATATGTAGGCTAGCTGGTAAAACAGTGTATTAATAATAATAATCATACATATAAATACTAGTCATGATTATTATTATTATTACACTGTTTTACAAGGACTATAGAAAAGAGATGAAAAGGAGATACAATTTCCTGTTTATGTACATTTGAAACAAAAATGAGCAGAGACCACCAGTGAGTAAAAGCACAATCATTCTATTCAGTAAAAAAGCAAGGGTCATAGTTCACCTTTAGGATCCAGTGGAATTGTTAAAAGTCTTGAAAGATTATGTGTGAGGGAAGAAGTCAGTTTAATAAACAGGAAAATGCAGAAAAAAGAGCCGGATTCGTTCACTATTGTTGAGCACTTTAGACTCAGTCACACCTGTGAGATTGAGCCCTTTGTGTGTCTGTCAGCATCCAGGTGAAGTGCGTGTGTGAGAGAGCAGCTCAGACAGCTTAGGTTTCATTTTGGCATTTGTTAAGCAACAAATGAGCAACTTGCACAGCCTTTAAACTCTAATTTCACCTAATATGAAAGTCACAAAAGGGATGGAGATGACAAGACGGACAATAAATCAGGCTAAGGAACCAGAGAGGTTAGCTTAGAATCATATTCATTGCATATTCATTTATTAGATGACGTCTTTGGAAAAAGCAAAAACCAAGCCATCAGTCTTAATGAGCAACCCACTGGGTCTTTATAACCGGAATCTGTCACAAACACCGGGCTTGAGTGTTTGTGTCTGAGCAGGAGGCTTTGAAATTGCTTTTGAGTAAGCCAGCACAGACATGCCACTGTGTTTTAACCCAAGTCAAACAGGAAGCAGTGCTAGAGCCCTGCTGCATCCAAACCATACCATGTTATCAGAGACAGACACATGCGCATTTTGTGTCTGTTTAGCTCTGAGATTGTGTGTATGTTTCAGGATGAAATGACTGTGCAGATAAAGACATTTCTCTTGGCTCAGCTGTGGGAAATAACATTCACACTCCCTCAACCTCCAGATGAACCCAGCCCTGATCATCAGAGGCCTGAACATGCTCTCCCACGCTCTTAACACTTTTTCTCTCTCTCTCTCTCTCTCTCTTTCATTATTCCTTTCTTGTTTGGCACTCTCAAACTCTCTTTACATCTTTCATAATTATATAACTCAATTCCAAAACCTAGCGAGCTGCCTCGTTACCTACTGACTATTTAGGCAGCATCCTTACTGAAATTAAACTTCATTAGTGGCTCAATTGTAATGCTCTATATGGGCAGGAACTCACATGAAGCGCACAGGAGACTCAACTCACAGCTGATTTAAATTTCTATTCAAATTTTCAATACAAACTTTATGCAAAATATTCATTTATAGTCACTATTTTATAAATACCTTTTTATTATTCAATTAATTACATGTATACTACCATTCAAACATTTGGGGTCTTTCATATTTATTTTTTGGAAAGAAATGAATATCCTTATTTATCAAGGGTGCATTAAATTGATTACAAAAAGAATAATATATTATTGTAATAATATTTCCACAATATTACAGTTTTTACTGTATTTTTGGTAAAATAAATGCAATTGTGTGACGCTTCTTTCAAAAACAGAAAAATCTTACTGACCCCAAACGTTTGAACGGTAGTGTTTATTCAACATTTATCTTGGATTTACACTGAATAAAATTATAAATGCAACACTTTTGTTTTTGTCCCCATTTTTCATGAGCTGAACTCAAAGATCTAAGACTTTTTCTATGTACACAAAAGGCCTATTTCTCTCAAATATTGTTCACAAATTGCCGAGATAATCCATCCACCTCACAGGTGTGGCATATCAAGATGCTGATTAGACAGCATGATTATTACACAGGTGTGCTTTAGGCTGGCCACAATAAAAGGCCACACTAAAATGTGCAGTTTTACTGTATTGGGGGGTCTGGGGGGGTCCGTATACGACAGCGTGTTCCAGTTCCTGCCAATATCCAGCAACTTCGCACAGCCATTGAAGAGGAGTGGACCAACATTCCACAGGCCACAATCAACAACCTGATCAACTCTATGCGAAGGATAGTGGTGTCTGTCTTAGAATTTGACCAAAATGTGGTATCTTAAAGGGTTAGTTCACCCAAAAATGAAAATGATGTCATTAATGACTCACCCTCATGTCGTTCCAAGCCCGTAAGACCTCCGTTCATCTTCGGAACACAGTTAAAGATATTTTAGATTTAGTCCAAGGGCTTTCTGTCCCTCCATTGAAAATGTATACACGGTATACTGTCCTTGACGCTGCTGACGTGTTATCTGGTGTGTCCGTGTATTTGGGATCAAATAAATATGGCTGGGCAAAAAAATGCAAGTCTTCCTCCGTGTCGAAATCCTTAGACATGTTTGCGAAGATTGTTTTGTTTACAGCGTGCGTCTCCCTCAGACTGTAAACGAAGCTCGGGCGCACCAGATAACAAGTTAACACTGAACGCGGATTGACAACAGAACCGGAACACAATACAATGCTGAATAAAGTCGTAGTTTTTGTTATTTTTGGACCAAAATGTATTTTCGATGCTTCAAAACATTCTAACTAACCCACTGATGTCACATGGACTACTTTGATGATGTCTTTATTTCCTTTCTGGACAAGGACAGTATACCGTACATACATTTTCAATGGAGGGACAGAAAGCTCTCGGACTAAATCTAAAATATCTTAAACTGTGTTCCGAAGATGAACGGAGGTCTTACGGGCTTGGAACGACATGAGGGTGAGTCATTAATGACATAATTTTCATTTTTGGGTGAACTAACCCTTTAAGAGGTGGCATAATTAATTTAGCTCACTAGGTTTTGGAACAGAGCCTATTTGGTTATTTGTGATGTGTGCAGAGGGTTAAAGTCTGTATAATCTTGTCTCACCTGTAGTCCTCTGTCAAACTGACACTGGTCTCTTCTTTTCGTAAACGGGACAGAGCGGCTCCTCCCTCCAACTGTAGCCGCACCAGCCTGCTGTCTTCCAGAACAGTCCTCATCAGCTCTCTGTACTTACACAATAAGATCTGTGCCTCCTGCAAACACACACACACACACATTTATTACTATAAAACACCAACACTCCTCTACAGCTGCACACATTCCCACACACCTTATTATTACAAATACACATCGTATCTACTGTTCTCTCACTGAGTAATATCTGTCCTTTCTCCAGCATAAACACACATACACCCCATCATTATCTTCCAAATTCCATTGACAGATAGAGTAATACCTGTAGCAGCACACATTACCTGTACACACTCTCACGCACACAGGCATTCATTATTATTCATTAAAGTTGTATCTACACCTCCTTCATTTAATACTAGCTCACGTTTGTACTCATTAAATGATCAAATGAGCTTAAGCTACAGTACACTTTAATACGCATAACTGCCAAACCTTTAGGTGTGTGTTTGTACTTGTGCTGTTGTACTTAAATCTGGCTTTTATGGATCTTTCTTAACAACAGCACACTTGTCTTGCACTTTATCTACGGAACCCTTTAGGTGTGGATGCAGCAAAATGACAAAGCAAAAGTTACCAAATCCACTGCAGAAATGCACATAGATGTACAACAAATCAGCTTTCTAGGCCACTGACTGGAGTCATCTCATGTGAGTGTATAGTACTATTCAAAAGATTTTTTTTCTTGTTCATCAAGGCTGTATTTATTTGCTCAAAAATGCAGCAAAACCGCAATATTGCAAAACATTATTACAATTTAAAATAACTTTTCAATTTTCATATATTTTAAAATGTTGCAAAGCTGTATTTTCGGCATCATTACTCCAGTCTTCAGTGTCACATGATCCTTCAGAAATCATTCTAATATGCTGATTTGCTGCTCAAGAAACATTTCTTATTATTATCAATGTTGAAAACAGTTGCATTGTTTTATATTTTTGTGGAAATCAAGGTACATTTTTCAGCATTCTTTGATGAACAGAACATTTTAAAGAACAGTATTTTTTGAAAGAGAAATCTTTCTCTAAAAATCTAAAAGTTTCTTTCACTTTTGATCAATTGAATTTAATGCGTCCTTGCTGAATAAAAAGTAACTTCTTTACCTAAAGAAAAAAACAAACTAAAAAACTTTGAACCAGTAGTTGCATGATTTTAAACATATGTGTATCAAAAGTTTTTTTTTAACCTCATTTCAGGTGTAAAATGGTTAAACATTTAAAATGGTTCAAATGACTTATACGTTTACATTACTGACAATTTCTTAACAAATTTATTGAAACCACTTCTGAGAATGGTTCTCACTAGTAAACAAGGTTAATTAGTAAAACGCCATCTCAATCAAACGCTAGATGGTAGTAAAACTACCATCTTGATTAAAATCTATCTATAATCTGTAAGGGTAGCATTTGGAGTGTAATACTTTTTTAGGGTGTGTGTGTACCACCCAGAAAAGCATCCATAATACCGACCCAATGATGCAGATTGTGGTCTGACCACAATGTGCGGAGTCTATGAGGCGCTAACAACAAAAGGTTATATTATATCGAATAACCTCAGGAACCTCAACAAAAGCCTTCTTAAAGTGATTTTGAAAAAGTACTTAAAGAAATAAAAATCTCATAATTACTGTCATACGTCTAAACCCTAATTAGCATGCGTGTGTGAAGTGGGATAAAACTGTAGAGCAATTACATGAATTACAAATGTCAGTGGATGTTTCTATGAGTTTTAAAGCCTATTTGCAGTTTTGTTTACAGAAATGCTTTAAAACTCTTCATAGACACTATATTAAACTATTAAATGGTGGAGAATGAAGATACAATATGTGAGGTTCTTAATATAAGGAGAAAATAAATAAAGTCATTCAGAATTGTGGCAAAAAAAAACAGGGAAAAGAGGGGACACATTTAGATTAACGGGGGGAGACAGAAGACATAGAAGAAACGGCAGAGAGATGAGCGGACAGGCCAAGACTTATTCTGGTTTTCTATTCATTTAACATCTAAGCATCACTTCATCCACAGGAGGGGCTGTTTTAGCATTCAGTAAGCAGAAATCCATACCCTCATCCACCAGACTCTTTCTTTGCTTCTCCTTTCAACTCTTTATATAAACCCTAGGTAAGTGATTTTGAAGATGGCTGCAGATAAACACTCCTCTGGGAGATCATTACTTCTCCTGAGGCCCTGTTTTCCCCCAGAAGCCTGTGGATAAAAAGGTCCTTCGTGACCTCCACTGACAGCCAGAGGTCAACCCAGTCAAAGCCTTGACACACTAACCACACACAAACTGAAGTCTATATTTTCAAACTCAACTTGTCTTCTAAATAGAACAGTCTTTAAATCACTGTAACCGGACACCAGTGCCACTGCTGTACTTCATGGAAATATAATAGAAGTCCCTCTGAGTAGAAGACTTCAGTGCCATGTGATGCCCTCCTGAGCAGAGTTCACTGTCAGAAGGTCATAATGAGTCCTCGGACTGCAGTCTCAGTAAACATAACTAGAACCAAGAGAGGGGCTCAACTGGTTCACAGGCAAACTATCTGCAATATATATTTCTGTAGCTCAAACAATAGAGCATGTTAACACCAAGCTCATGGGTTTAATTCCTAGGGAATGCAAGAACTGATAAAAATTTATACTTGAATACAAAGTAAGTCACTTTGGATAAAAGTGTCTGCCAAAATCATTAAATATATATAGCTCTCTCATTCCTGACAGGGCTGGGACAAAGCATTTTTTGTGGGACTGCTTTCGATAGAGCTGCTTTTAGAAAAGTATTTTATTGACTGTTGCAGTACCTCTGCTGTAGGTGGCAGCACTGCAGACTCCAGTATGCTGATGGAGTTCTGAAGCAGGTTCACAGCATCCTCACAATGGCTGGTCAGCTGCTCCAATCTCTGAGATGTAACAAAAAGACATGTTTAGGTTAGGAACCCGTTAGAAAATAAAATCCAGTTTACTAAACAAACAGTTGTCAGATGTTGTAAATCATGTAATGTACGCATATATCTCACTGCACATGAAATACATTTTTAATGTTTTTTAAAGTCTCTTCTGCTCACCAAGGCTGCATTTATTTGATTAAAAAAAGAAAGAAAAAAGAAATATTGTTAAATATTATGACAATTTAAAATAACTGTTTTCTATTTTAATATATTTTAAAATGTAATTTATTCCTGTGATAAGAGCTGAATTTTCAGCATCATTACTCCAGTCTTCAGTGTCACATGATCCTTCAAAAATATGCGGATTTGATGCTCAAAAAACATTCATTATTATTATCAATGTTGAAAAAAGTTGTGTACTATTTTTTTTCCAATTCTTTGATGAATAGAAAGTTCAAAAGAACAGCATTTATTTGAAATAGAATATTTTGTAACATTATAAATGGCTTTCCTGTAACTTTTGATCGATTTTAATTAATCCTTGATGAATTAAAGTATTGATTTCTCTTATTTCTTTCCCCCAAAAACTAAAATAAAAAATCTTACTGACCCCAAACTTTTGAACGGTAGTGTTTACTGTTACAAAAGCTTTCCATTTCAGATAAATGCTGTTCTTTTAAACTTTCTTATTCATCAAAGAATCCTGAAATAAAAATGTAAATAACTGTTTTCAACATTGATAATAATGAGAAATGTTTCTTGAGCATCAAATCATCATATTTCTGAAGAATCAGTTATGATGCTGAAAATTCAGCTTTAATCACAGGAATAAATTACACGTTACTATAGATTCACATAGAAAACAGCTGTTTTAAATTGTAATAATATTTCGCAATATTACGGTGTTTTTTTAAATCACATAAATCAGGGTTCCTGCACACTTTTGAAAGTCAAATTTAAGGCTTTTTAAGACCTTTTTAAGACCTGAAGAAATCAAAATTATTACCGTACATTAGGGCTGTGCAGTATTGACAAAAATATATATTGATATTTTCAACGTTTTGTTGATAATAATTAGATGATATTTTACTGATTGTGTTTTTGTGCTGGTGCCATGGCTGGTTTAGGTCTGTTGTTGACAGCTGACTCACGAAGATATTCATATTTTTCATATTCTATGCAGTGGTCAGTTCACAGCAGTGACAGAAATTAATATTTTAATTAAGGGGCAATATTTGCCACCTTAAATTGATTTTTTCAGGGGCATTTTCACCTATATATGGACATTTTTTCTAAACTTATTTAGAGTTATGCATCACCTTTAATGTCAAATACTATCATTCAAATTCAATTATACAGTAATTATACAATAATACTTAATTATATAATAATCATACAGTACCACTGTTACCAGTCAAATTAAATCATTCAATCAAAATCCATCTTTGCAGTGCAGAGGTGACAGAAGCGGCATCAGAAGTGGCATTAATATATTTACACTCCATTTACAACTGCATAAATAAAGCTATGAGATATATATTTTTAAATCAATATTCAATATTTAAATATGAAATGATTTCTAATTTTAACATTTTATTTAAAGGGTACTTTAAATATGAAACCGCAGCGGCAAATCACTGTCTTAATAAGTGAGTTGAGGGAGTCATTCATTCAACCGATTCGTTCAAACGGCTGATTCATTCGGGAAAGAAGCAAGTGATTCGTTCAAAACGCGGATTTCAGTCAAGAAATAATCGCTGTCGGTTGCATTGAGACTCTGCTACGGTTTCATTTTGAAATTATAGACGGCGAAATAAAGGGAAAACAAACAATATTGACAATATTGTGTCTAAAAAGTAACTCAATGTTAACTTATTGTTAATTTAACTGTTGTATAACATAAATATCACAATTGGAATTGTGCACGGGAAAACGGCACTCTTTCTGATGTGATATTCTAATATAAGAACATAAATAATATGATATAAATATAAGACAAAAACTAACTTGGGGACATAACAGTTACACTGCACACATCACCCAGTGAAAGCACGAGAGACAAATGCGATGTCAGCTCGCAGTGCCTCGTACATTGTTAAAACAATGATTACAATATCATAAAAGACAATACACATCGCACACCATACGCACATAAAGAATGAACTTACAACTGAACTGATATTTACGACCTTTCTTCTCCTTCTCTCCTCTCGCGTGCAGGAGACAGTTATGCTGCCGCGACTCGCGAGTGACGCGAAATGTCACGTGAACTAGCAAATCCACAAAGATAGAATAATAAATAAATAAAAATACGTACGCTAATTAGATGGTTTTAATTTGGAAAGCTTTTAGATATGTCTAAGTCAAAGTGTCATCTAAAATTTAAGACCTTTCATAAGTAAAAATAAGACTTTATAAGACTTTTTATGGCCTTAAATTTTAAAAATCTAATTTAAGACTTTTTAAGACTTTTTAAGGATCCGCGGGAACCCTGTAAATGCAGCCTTGGTGAGCAGAAGAGACTTCTTTTAAAAACATAAAAAATCTTACAGATCCAAAACTTTTGACTGGTAGTGTATATGCTAATTGGTACATGAATATTTTATTGTGATCATTATTAATACACACAGCAGTGGCTTATTGCTGTATTAATCTTGTGGCTTATTGCTACTTTCTGACTACAAATCGGTTTAAAAAGTCATGTAGTTTATTCCAGCCTTAGTCCTAGGAATGATGATGATTTTCTCACCATTCTGAAACAGACCCAGCTGCTGTGGGAATAAGGGAAAGTGCCTTCAAACTCAGTGGGAAGTTGAGCGATGTCAACATGCTTATAGAGAGACTTCAAAGATGTCAACAACTCCACCTGACAGATGCAAAAAGAACACAGGACACAACAGTCGTCAGGTCTTAGCTTCTGCATTCAAGGGGATAAATATGTATTGTAGTGCAATCATAAACACTTCAGCTATTCTAATAGCTTAGATAGATGTCTAGGCTACACTATCAGTCCAGCTGTGGTGAAATTCTCAACTGAAGCACTTTCCTACGTAGCTACAAGTGTCTATCTCTGGCAGTCTGATTTGTGTCAGGCACAAGCGGCGTCTCAGTACAGACACTTGTGTTTTAAAATAGCCATCTATTTCTCAGTGCAGAGTAACTAGGTGAAAGCCAGAATCTTGTCAGTGCTGGTAGATGCTGTTTATTTCTATAAAGGGGGCTATATTTTATAAGAGGATGTTAGAGGATTTCCTTTAACATTAACTAGAAACCTCACAATGTTCTCCAGGACCTAAAGATGAACAAATGACCTCCATTTCCTCCTATATAGAGTAACATATGGATTTGCGTGTTTTTTTTTTATCCTTCCTGCCCTCATTAAATGCAAGTCACATGCTACAATACCACATGTGGCACATCACACAGATATTGTCATCTGTAGTTATTGTTTGAGTGTTATCGTGGCTGTAAAGTTATGCCAAGTTGCAGGTGATGGGTCATCATTTTTGTGCATTACCTACCTGTATAGAAGAGGTTTTCTCCAATCGCAGAGCCAAATCTCTGTCGGCCAGCAGCAGTACTGTATGGATGCATCCCGGCATAGCTTCCTGCAGAGATTGAATAGACTATCAAATCACAAACAGCACCATGAATTACACACATTTCACAGACTAACCCAGAATTCCTAGTCCTATTGACTAATAAAAGTATTTTATAGTCATTTATGATTACTGAAAAAGTAATTATAATTACTGAATGCGAGCTTGTACACAAGAGAGAAGCCTGTCAGAAGCAGAGTTTTTTACGAGGTGAAAAAAAAGGGTAAGATGTAGAAATGTGTCTGCATCAATTTTTTACAATAAGATCAATAAAACCTTGAAAATAGACAGGGTGAATTTTCATTAATGCTTTATTTAACTATGCATTTATGTCATTGAACAAAAGTTTTTAAAGGTTACATAACCTAGTAGACACTTTTCTGTAATGTGCCCCAAAAGCCACAATAAAAGCCTTCTGTCAGTGAATGTACCATAACAAAAGAGCAGAAAACCAACACTCTGTAAAAACAGACCAGAGAAGTCTATTATGCCTTTTGAGAGCTGTTTTAGTCTGTTTCCTTGTACGTCATCATGCATACTGATCATGCACACATTATCGTGCCATCATAGCCACATCAGACCAGAAGGAAAAGAAAATCTCTGCTGGAATGAAACAATAGCATATTTACTGAGGAATGTTCCAGAAACATCAACAACCGCTTCAGGGCTGAGACTATTTACTGCTGATATTTATTGCCTACTTGCTGAAACACTGCAGTTTTATTTTTCACTTTGCATTTTGAGTGTATTAAAATCATGAATATATGCTGAGACTGGATCTGGTTTTATGTTGTTGTGAATTAAAAGTGTGTCTTAACCAAGGAGTTACTATATGGTTTTGTGAATTAGTTTATAAAAAAAAAAAAAAAAAAATTCCTTGGTAGGCCATGGTTCAATCCATAAACAGAATACAGAGGCCTGATGGAAAAGTGTAATTGTCAGCTCAAAAGGACATCTATAATGGAATGATAGTATCAGTGGAGGGAGGAGAGCCTGTGTCTGTTCCCTGAGGGCCGGACCGGTCACTAAGCTACTGCATTCATTCAGAAAGACCTCATCTGTCAGTGTTAGCACTGACCCTGAATACACTGAAGGGCATTCAAACACGTGACATTCACATAGTTTAGCAGTACATCATCAAGAATCTTATACTTTCAGTAAAGCCACCTTTTCCACAAGAGAGCACTTGTAAGCTGTCTATCATGGATTACATATACAGATGGAAGATCAAAGAAATGAGAAAAAATAAACCACGCAAAGGTCATATGGAGAATTTCTGCAGCTGTTTTAAACCTCAAATGAGTTCATAAAGACAATGAAAAGCTCTCACAGAGGCCCTGTGCTACTCAAAACAACATTGTCATTAAAAGCATTCATCAATTTTACTTTTATATTGCTTATATTTATCTCTCTCTATCTCACTCAGGATGTTTAAATGGTGAAGTCAGCATTGGCACATCCTCAGTCTGTCAAAGTAGGGCAGGTTTTTGGCAGAAGAAGAAAGCAGTATTAATCTGCATTAAGGTCTAGAACACAAACTCAGTCTGGAGTCACTTCCATTAAATGTGCTCAGGGATCATGTTCCTGCAGTTACTTTGAGCATTACTTACTGGTTTCCTCACATCACTCATGTAAATGACTGGTGAGGTGATTCTTCTACAGATGAGATAAGCCATCTATTCTCCATAAACACTAAAAGAAAAATGTATATAATTGAAATCTGACTGGATATGACGCCTGTGTTCTCTACTGCCACCTTGGTCAGGTCACTCTAGTAAAAGAGTAACCTTTAACAATTGAGATAAGATCTCAATAATAGTAAAAAACAACTAACAAGCAACAATCATGTCAGAAGTTGATGCATTCTGCAAAATAACCAATCCCAGATGAGGAAAAGAAATCCAAGGACATCACCCTCTCTCTACTAATCTCATGTGAGCATGTCCTATTGTGTAATTGTGTGTGAATGCAACTATTTATTTCCACAGCTGGGAAATCACATTATATTTATGATGTGCTGCTTTTTGCCTTGTTTAGCCAATAATGACTGATTCTGTCGATGAAAACTCTTCTCAAAGGTTTACTTTAGTTTAGTCAGCTCTTCTGAATTCCTCAGTAGCAGATGTCTGGTTGGAAGTTAGATTTAAATATCAAGATTTATGGCAAGGTTGCATTACCATTCAGTTTGGAAGAAAGTATGAGAAAGGAAACGCATAAAGGATGTGAACTGTATGTGACAGTTCTATCTGTGTAGGATATGAACAAATGGTAGACCGTCATGGTGTTAGTACCTGGAGGATGTTGAAGGCTTTAAAGAGGGCGGGGACAGGAGAACACTTGCGGGCATCCACCAGGACAGTCAGTCCCAAAGCACTAACTTCCTTCCTGAGAGTCAAATCAAGGTCATGTGTTTGATGAAGGAAAGGTAAATAAAATAACATATCAATGGTTTATTGTTCAAAATGAATGAATCTTAGATTATAGCAACAATAGTTTTTTTTCTGTTTTTTTTTTTATTAAATATATACAGCCTTGGTGAGCATAAGAGACTTCTTTTTTTTAAAAATTAACAAAACGTATTGATCCAAAACTTTTAAAATGGCAGTGTGTGTACCTGAGTGTACTGAAGAAGTAGACCATGATCCGCACCAGCTCTCCACTGTTGCAGTTTGGATTCAACCAGATAGTGTTTCTCATTGTCACGGTCACAAGGGCATGGCCTGATTTATCTCTTGTTCCTAAAATTCATTTTAAAAGTTGAGCTTTTGGATCATATTGATGGCAGGACCATATTAATGGCATTAGAAGCAGTCCCTTACCAGGTAGGCAGAGCACTCCTGAGTTCAGGACATCAGGATTGATGTCATGCGCCTCACTCTGGACAGGCTGGGTCCTCTGGGAGATGGGCGGCAGTGGTGGATGAACTGCTGAGGGGTCTTCACTCTGGGTTTTAGCAGACAGGTGGCAAACAATGTGGTCTACTTCCTGACTGGATGCTGGAATATGAAAATCGGTTGGAGTTATTTCAACACAAGCAACACTGGCACACACACACACACACACACACACCTAAATGTAAACAAAGAAACAGTTCAGTTTACAACACTGGCAAGTCAATTTACAATCTGTCTTATCATTAAAGACAATAATGCATCACTTCAGTCTTTAGAAAGTTCACAGATAATGTTGATATGATCAATTGAAGTGAATGTTTACAGCAATGTTTGATCACTCAAAATTGATCAAAATTGATTTCACTGAGATTCTTACTCGCAGAAGATATACAGCACAGCTTACAGATGGCTGACTTGATAACTACATTTGGCTCTAAACCTAAAAAAAAAAGAAAAGGGAAAAAAAGCTAAATCTCTGGGTCATGAAACACAAATCTATTCAGACACTGAACAAAGCCAGCAGACCCACATTCTCTGAACCCCCCACTAACAAACAGCAATGTAGAAACGGTGGAACGGAGCGTAAGTATTTGTCCAATCTGTACCATTATGCAGCTCAAACAAGCACACTCCTAGCTAATTTAAAGCATTCCAGGTATCATCCTGTGCGTCGTTCCATAGGGCGGCTTGGATCTGTGCCCCATATACCAGACCGCAAGATAGGGCTCAGAGATAACCAGAGATCAGCTTCCGACAGTCATAAAACTAAAGTTTTGCTTCGCTGCACTGCCACGCACTGCTGCTGCTGTGCAGAAAATAGATACTGAGATCAAAAACAGATGAGATGGAGTCCTGGGAATTCCAGCACTCGTAAAACAGCTTGCACAAGGACAAGAAAAACATGTATAAATTGCTCTGAAGCATTATCTGGCTGAGATTGCTATATTTCAGAAGGGATTTGAGCTGGAACAGCAGAGGTTAGCTTCTGAGGAAAGAAATCAAAACACAATGGAATGCTCTTCTTCAGTTAGGTACGATAGATAAGCTACGATAAATTTGACAAATACAACAAAAATCGTTTTTTTACCCCTACTTTCTCTTTGCTTTCTCTCTGTCTCCTTGTCTACCCAACATCCTCCTCGCCAGAGAATGCTCACATTGAGGAAGTAGACTATATGAGCCCCCCTCGAGCTGAGCTGAGTGCTACCCCAGACAGGGCAGAGCAAAGAGGGTCTTGGCTTCACACTCTCTCACCACAGTCTGGAGTTCAGTCTGGCAATGGGAGAAACCCTTCAGTGATTATTCTTCATGCCTTTCTTCTCCTTTCTATCTGATGTAACACTGGACCCTGAATAGTCAGACCATTAGGCAAACCTCTAAAACATGCTATTTAAACAGAATATATTTCCATACAGCAGACACATGTATTATTTTTATTGTAATAGAATGTCTGTGATTTTGTGCCGTGATATATATGTGTGTATACTGTATGTGTGTCTGCTGTAAAGATCATACATCGGTAAAAGCAATGGTCTGGCCAATCAGTCACAAATTAAATGTTGCTCACTTGTAGAAGCGTATGAGAAACTCTTGTAGAGCTTATCCATACTATCATCTAGTCTTTAGTCTTCCATCTGCCCAGCTCATCAGCTCTCTCTTTCACAGACTGAATTCTCATCAAAGTCTCTACTGCTTTTCAAGAGGTTTTATAGGTCTTAGAGAATCATTGTCCAAAGGTAATTTTCCTTTCAAAACTAAAAATACACCCAGCAAACTGCTGACACTGAAGATTTGAGTCATTACAAAACCGAAGAGTAGACTGAATCTTATTCACATGAAACAGTGGATTAAGAGTAGTATAAACACCTGAAATCCTCTGAAAAATGGAAAAATTACGAAAAGAAAAAATGAAAACAAAGCTTACTTTTAGCGTATATAGAGGTAATAGGCTAGCCATAGTAGCCTTGCTGTAGTACTGAAACTCAAAAAGTGTTTAGGGTTTGTGAACCACCCACTAAGAGAGAAAGAATCAGATCTATCATAGTCAAACTACCACAACAAACACACCATCATTTCTTCTTTCTGCTGTTCCTATCTTCAAAGCAGTGCACCCCCACCCGTTCTCCATTACTTAAACACTCCATCTATTACCCCCGAACACACTCATACACTAAAACATCCCCCTCTGCTAACCCCCTGCAATTTCAGAGGTCCCACAGCAGGGATTGTGTTCAGGCCCACCCACATCACCTCATCTCATATATCTTTCTTCACACCTGTACTACACCTGGGCCAGGTGAGCACATCCAAAGCAAACAAATCCTCTGGATGAAGAAGAAGCGGAGGTGGGACACTGACAGCAACCTGTTGATATGAAGGACTAATAAACAATATGGCAGATGATTGTTCAAAACAACAGCTCCTGATCACACACAAAACACACGTCATCCGATATCAGCTTTACTCACTGCAACAGATGTCCTAAAATAGTTTAATCCAAATGAATGCAGGATTGAGTTACTAAAGTACACAAAGCAGAAATCCTGCACATAACCCAGGCTTCTCTTCAGCTGTTTCCTTTAGCAGTTCAGATATGAAATGCTGTCTATCTTGGACAGTGTTCAGTGGAATTAATGTGTGTCTAAATTTGAAAACAAACTGTCTAGAGGCCAGAATATGACCTGCTACAAAACACATCCTTGTAAAGTGCCCAGTCTAAGTAAAACCAGAGCCTCACACACTTTTCTTTCAGCCTGAAGAGAAAAGCAGCTCTATCAGGTCGTAGCATGGGCCATTTGAGAGCCATTTGTAACTTGTCAGAGGCCTGAATGTCGAAACGCCGGAGCTAGTCTGCTAATCCAGAGTAAATATACTAGGTGGACAGTGGACACGGTGACGGCAATGAATGAACGATGAAAAAATTACTCACAAGTCACTATAGTGAACAACTGCTACAAACCATGGAGTCCGTTTGTGAAGTAGAACACAATTCATACATGAAACACCATTAAAATAAGCTAAAAGTGAATAATAGAGGGGATTATAAGTGAACAGAATTAAAATAGTTACAAAAGTGATAAAATATGAGGAAGAGGATGAAACTGTGAAAGTGAATGAATGGAGTGAATAAAGAAGAGGAGAAGGGAGAGAAGTAGGTTCTTCATCAGCTGAGGCAGTGGAAGAAGTCTTTAGACGCATCTGAAACAGTTCAGAGCTTAGATGCATCTGTAAAGATGAAGAAACGGGGATGGAAAATGAATGGAAGGGGAAAGTGGGAGGAGTTTAAAGGGAAAGAAGGCATGTGGATAAAGTAAAGGTGAGCGGGATGGACTTTTCAAAGATGACTCTACCTTGCTCTTCCTGCTGATGGTAATGGGACTCCATGTCTGCTTGCTGCTGATGCTCTGCTGGAGAGCCATTCATAGAGGAAGTAACCTCATCCTCTTGCCTCTCCTCCTTTCCCCCCTTTCTCTCCTCCTCCTTTGTTTTTTGCCCTTCTCGTTTGGTGGTAGGTGCGTCATTAGTGTGCATATGTCCATTTGTGTTTGGCATATCTGAGGCTAGATCAAGGACTTGAGTGCATGCTGACTGGACTCTACTTTCAGAATAGTTGGTCACTATGGCCTCCTGCTCACTCACAGTATTGGCCTTGGTCTCCTCTTCCTCCACCCCTTGCTCTTTAACATTGGTTTGTTTCTTCTCAATCTCATCTGTTCCTACAGAGAAGCTGCCCTCCTCCTGAACTCGAACGTCTGAGTCAGACTTGGGCGTGGTATCTACCAGACCTGTTTGAGCAGTCTCAACTTCCTCTGCCCTACAAACTGCTTCTAATTCATTCTCCATCTTGCTTTCCAACACTCTAATGCTTTTCTTTTCTACTGTTTTTGCCTCCTTACAAGGCGAATTACCCGCTACATCTCTTTCTGCACGTTCTTCCTTTGTCTGAAGTTCCACCTCTGTCTCGTTTCTGTCCTCACAGGATTCTGTCCTCACCTGACCTTGTGAAATGAGCGTAACCGGATCCTCCCCAGGCGCTGTGGTGACAGAGGCCAAGGCTACCTGGTCGCTTTGCGGAGCAGCCGAAACAAGCCCACCTTCTTCCTCTGCACTGGGACTATAATTCTTGTCATAACTACTGTTACTTAATGTCTTATGGTTCTCTTTTACGGTAATAAGGTCATGCACTTTCTCAGGTGGTGTATGAATGTGTGTGTGTATCTGACATGGGCTGTGATCTGTTTGCTCAGTCTGATTCTGTAAAGACACACTGATATCTTGAGGCTCAGAGACCGACTCTCCACTGTTCTGCAGATCACAACTGCCTTCCAGGCCACAATCACCTCTCATCTGCTCAGATTTAGATCTGACTTTTGCTTCTGCAGCAGGATCAGACACAAAGAGTTCAATATTGTCCAGAGAAACTTGTTCTGAGTTTTTACTCTCTAAATTACCAAATAACATTTCATTCTCTGGCTGTGATGTACTAGTTACTTCGCTGTGTGGTTGCGCCATGTCGACTGTTTTGCTGTTTGGTTGTGATGTTCTTAGAGGCATTTTGTATAGATGTGATGTGTTGAGTGGTTTGCTGTCTGGTGGAGATATGCTAGCTAGTTCACATTCGAGTTGTGATGTGTCAAATCGTTGGTTATCTGGTTGTGATGTGCTAACTAGCTTGCTGTCTAGTTGAGATATGCTTACTGGTTTAACGTCTGGTTGTAATGTCTTGACTGGCTCATTGACTATTAGTGACCTGCTGACTGGTTTGCCGTCTGGTTGTGATATGCTGGCTAAATTACTGTCTAGCTGACAAATGCTTACTGGTTCAACTTCTGATTGTGATGTCTTGACTGGCTCATTGACAAGCTGTGACATGCTGACTAGTCTGCTGTCTGGTTGTGATATGCATAGTGGTTTAAGGTCTGGTTGAGATATGCTTACTGGTTCAGTGTTTGATTGTGATGTCTTGATTGGCTCACTGACTAGTTGTGATGTGCTGTCAGGTTGTGATGTCTTGATTGGCTCACTGACTAGTTGTGATGTGCTGTCAGGTTGTGATGTCTTGATTGGCTCACTGACTAGTTGTGATGTGCTGTCTAGTTTTCTGTCAGGTTGTGATGTGCTGATGACACTGTTGTCTAGTGATTTGACGACTGGTTTACTGTCTGTTTGTGTTGACATATCAGATAGTGGAGCAGTATCATGCTCAGACACACGGTCACAGGAGGTTGTACCTGCAGCAGATGTGGGCTTAGACTCGTCCACCTGCTGGAGCGGACATTCTGCCTCTGCAAGAGCAGTGGGGGTTAAGATCACAGATTGGTAGGCATCACTCAGGTTTTCCTCAATCAGCATGGCACACACCATGCTCTGTGAGCATGCACCATTCTTCAAAAGACCCTCCTCTGGTTTGGCTTTAGGCTGAGTAGAACCAGCAGTCTGCGGTTTATGTAGATTTCTGTAGTTCATACTAATGGCTTGAGTGAGAGAGCCCTTCTGTGGGGAAAAGCGTGGTAAGGTGATATCGGCTAGCTCCACATACTCCCCTTCTGAATCCTCTGCTGTGCTGCTAGAGCTCCGCCCACTGCTATCTTTATTGATCTCACTGAGAGCAGGGAGGAGCTTAACCCCCTTGCTCTGACAGTCCATCTCCCCTGATTGGTCTGTGGAAGTGTCAATAAAAATCCTACATTGTATGTCCTCAGGGTTGTCTTTTTGATCTACGTCAGAGTCCCTCCCCTCTGTGTCTGAAACTTCCTTGGCCATTCCTCTACTTCCGCCTTGTTCTGTAACTTGGGAAGGTCTGCTGATAAACTCTGGGTGAACAATATCCTCCCACGGTACCCTAAAAATGTCATTATCCGCTGATAAAAGACAGTGTTCCAGGGCGGCTCTTCTGACCACAGTCCTCTCCCGGTTGATGGACTCCAGCCAGTCCATGGTGATTAGAGAGGTGTATGCTAGCTCCGGTACGGTAAGCTCCTCCACATGCTGCCCACTAACTGCCAGACACTTCACTGTGATGCGCGGGGTGCTTTTGGGTGTTGGCGTCACCTGCAAGTAGAAGTCGCTGGGCCGTAACACACGCCAATCCAAAGAGGAGAGCTGGATTATGACCTTCTCATGAACGCACAGTGGCCAGCCTTCATGACGAAAAAGGTAACCACAGTATGGAAACTGTAGAGAGAGGAGAGAGGGAACAACCAGTCAGGCAATCAATCAATGTTAATTGAACTGTTGTCAGTTATATAGAAAGACTCGCAGGACACATTTCAGTTTTCTTAGAAAGAAATGCATTCCAAATTTCAATATACTGCAATAAAAATCTAACAAAAAACAGCGAGCTAGAGGCAGGATTCTGTCAACGGTTCATCCAGCTAAATTATTATATTTGCCACATATAATTTTCAGGACTTTAAAACATGAAAAAAGACAAAGTGGCAACTGGCAATTCATGTTTTACATTTCCCCCCATTCTAAGTGCACAAATTGACATGAGATAACTGGTTTGTCTTCCATTTTTTCTCAAGACAATAAGAAAATTAATATAGTCTCAGAACATCTGAACATCTATGTTTGTCAATGGCTTGCTCATTGGGGATTTTAAGGGAAAATATGTATTGCAAAAAATAAAATGCATGCAATATATTTTTATTAACTAATGATAAACTAATACAATTAAAGCTTCATAAAAAACATGTCAACAATCTGCCACTTTCACTATGTTTTTAAAATGCCATTTAATTAACACAACAGTGAATAATACAGACAGGGATTATAAGGGATTCTTTCTTGTTGAATCCGGATGCTTCTAGATGATTCACTAAGACAGTTTGGACAATAAGCTCCTTTATTGTAATTCAATTTTAGAGAGAAGGCCCTGCAGTCTCTCTGTACCCTGTTTCATTCATTTGAATGAATTTTACAAAGGAAGTGTACAGGGACACTAAAGAAGGAGAAAATAGCCTTGGAGTCCCGAAACAACTCCACGGTTCAGTGTTTCTTCCTATATGCTTTGACAGTCATGTCACAGACTGCAATACTGACTGGCTCTGTGTAACCTGATACAAATGTGCTTTTGGATATACTAGTGATGAAATGAATATTCTGCTCAAGTTTACTACGGTCTGCTGAAAATGACCCGCTTCCTTTGAAAGGAAGAGCAGGGCAAGGGAGGAAGGAGGGTTGAATGTCCTTGCGCCGAGGGTAGGGGTGGGGGGGTGAAAGGGCTTTTTATTCACAGACCTCTCAGTTTAAGCTTCTGTTTCCCATTATTATATTCTCATTCACCTTCAAGCTACAGCCCCCACCTACACGGAGAAATAGACAGACCTGGAGATACTCCACTGACCCCAGGTGCAGCAAGCAGCCACTGTTCCCACAGGGTTCACAAATGCACATATTGACACACACAAACTACAAAAAAAATTCAAGATACTAATGGCTCGATTCCACAGAGCGGTAAGATACAGTACAGTATGGTACGCAATTATTTCCGTTTCCACTGTCAAAAGTTGTGAATGGTACCAAAATGCCGAACCGTACCGTAGCACTTTTTCGGTACCCTTCCGTTGAGGTACCTAGCACAGTGGTACGGTACCATAAGGGTGGAGCTAGACTCACTGCAGAATGTTGATTGGTTGACAAAGAATCGTCACTTGCGCGCGCTACAAGGGGAATAACAACATAAGAAGCCCCATTTTTTTATATACAGTTGAAATATAATACTACTGTTGTTGTGTCAAGAAATGTAGTATTAAGAGTTTTTCAGGCGAGAATGTAGTTGTTTAAAGCTCAAATCTGTGGTTTATTGATAAAGATTTATGAAAATTTGAGATTTATGAAAATGTGAGATCCATTCCAGACGATCACCGGGCGCTCGGCGCTTATGTACCCCGCCTGGAACAGCCTTTCCCCGGCTAGTCCTTCTGATGTTTGGCGCTGACTCTGACGTCTCTGTAGTGGTTAAACATGAGATATAATTCGTCTTGTGTAGACCTAACGGGCGATCTTGGGTCTCGTGAATCTATAATTTGTTCCCTGGACAATAGTTTTGTCTGTGAAGTTTCATAACTTTATATATTTAGGCTATTTAACTTTACCGTTGTAAGGTTAGACTAGAGCGCTGATTTTGTATGTTTGACTGAATTGTTTGATTTATTATTTATTTCTTATTGTATAGCTTCTTGTACCTTTTACTTATACTTTTATAATGGCTAATATTGATAAAACTGAAATTTAATAAAAAGAGACTTGAGTTTTGTCATTTTTAATTTTATTACAATGAAGATGATCACTGTAATGTTGTTTACTGCAACATTTGTTGTTTAGTACAAATGCACATATTGCCTGGACCATATTAATATGTTTAATATTTTTAAAATTTAAACGAAAAGAGGCAGGGTTGAGTTTTATTTGTTTTTAGTTTTTTTTGTTATAAATAGGTTAACGTTATACATGCAGTGAATATAATCAATGCGCGTTGCCTGAACCACATTTGTGTGGCTATTAGGGGTGTAACGATACACAAAATTGACGGTTCGGTTTTCCCACGGTTTTGACGTCTCGGTTCGGTTCGATTCGGTTCGGTTTAGAAAGCTAAAATTGCTTCTTCTTTTTTTTCCTTCTTTTTTTTAAACAGTGGTTTAATGAAAAAATTGTCTTTGTCTTTAAATTAATTCAATTACAATTAAACGTTTCACAAGGATTAAAAAAAAATCTGCTAAATCTGTAAACTGTATAGGGAGCCGCACATTACTATAACATTAAAGGTTGTAGCCTAGACTTTTAACCTAAATTCAGATGCTATTTATTTTTTAGATATAATAATCAACACACAACACATTGTATGAAAACATGTAAACTGAACATAAGGCAGTTTTTGCATTAACTTGTGTTTTACTCTAATTTGTTATTGAAATATAATACTTTACACAGTTGTCATTTTCATGAAAGATATTTTAAACATACATTAAATAATCAAGATATCATTAACAGGTTAAGTAAAATATAATATATAGGCTAACATAGTGCATTTATTTAGTGCAAGAGTTCATTTATAGGAACCATTTATAGGAAGTTGTGGACACTGAATCACTTGCCTGTTGAGGTAAATATAATGCTAGTGACAAGCTATGCTGTTTTATTGACGTCTTTCCGCTGCTGAAACACTGATTGAGCGATTACACGAGTTATGATGCCTTTCAGTAAGTATACTGCATCTTTCAACATACCTTCAGGTGTCCATTCTGTAACTGAGGAAGAGATGATCGCGTTTACCCGCGCGCCGCGTTGCCGTTTGAAATGAGGAGCTTAGTAGGCCTAACGTTACCGACAGCGATCTGTCACGCCACATCAAAGAGCGCCAAAACGCCATTTATTGTTTGAATTTCGTGATCAAATAGACAGAATTTGAAAGATTACACCTTGCTTATTATCGAAAGTAACAAAACACGGAGCTTGTTATTTGGTGTTAATGGTGGTTAGCTACAAAACTGAATTCGTTGTGTGCTGTACACAAGACATGAGATGTCCATTGAGCCGGGCTGGGCGGGGCGGGGCCGGGGTAGCAGGGGGCGCGGAGGGGCGTGTTCGGTACGCAATGAGAGTATCGCGATTCGAATCGTGTGTTCTGTATCGCGGTTTTTCGGTTCGGTTCAAATATCGTTACACCCCTAGTGGCTATAATGTTTAAGATTTCTTTAAATTAAAACGAAAAGAGGCAGAGTGGTGTTTTATAACATAGTTCGTTTTATTGTTGCCTAAAATGTACATACAGAGATAATAAAGTAGCAGAGCGAGCTGAGTGACGCTTTCAAGAACGAGCTGTTCCATTTGCAGAATTACCGGACTCGCGTCAACGCCCCGTTCTCCATTAGGGCTGGCTTTCAGTCATGAAATTCCACCAATATTCCTTTGTGTGATTGTTCAGAGGAGGCCTGATAATTGTGGTTATAATTGTGAGAACTCTCTGTTGTCAGAAACAACAGACAAGTCATAAAGCGCGTTTACATGCACTTTAAATTTTTTATTTCAGTCATACTAAAACCACAATTCACCTTTTTAAAGTGTCATATAAAGACATCATCAACCAAAATCAAGTTTCATTTTTGTGAAGCATACTAACAGGCTTAAATGATCTACGACTGTAGCTTGACTACACACACAAAAAAAAAACCCGCTGCAGCTCGATTATTACAGCATGTGTACATAAATTAGTCTGGAAATTAATCTAGTCTAAGCAGATCTTTTCAGCAACATGAGATTGAGTCTGGCTTTTGTTATTTCCTGATAGCCATCTCCCCATTATTTCCTGTCTCTCCTTGTCACTCAAAGTCAAGAATGCTGTGCATGTAGGATATGGGGGTGTCACAAAGAAAACTGTAACTAAGGAACAAGAAGCTGAAGTCGAGTGTAAAGAACATGTGTGTGTAGACAGCTGTGTAGAGCATGTGTGTGCGCCTATCTTTGCTGATCTGGCTGCGAAGGATCAGAACTTTTGGGGGCTTCTTCTCAAATAACCAAAACAAGAACCAATAACACAAACATTCAGGCCAACAGGCTTGCCGAGCCTTTTGTTTTAACATACACGTGTATGTGTGTTCTGGGTACACCCTCATAGTGACTAATGATGAGTGGGGGCTCAGCTAACAAAACATGACACGGAAGAGGATATGACAAAACACAAGAGACAAAGAAACGAACAAAATATGGCTGTAAATGTTAGGCTGAGATAAAATGGCAGAATGATTCAAGCAGTGGTTAACTGTAGAGGTTATTAAGAGACAAGAAAAGAATGAAGGGGAAATGTGTCACTCACACATACATTCTCTGTTGAATGCATGTGAAAGCATGTCTAAAAAATTTATTAGAGGTTGATTAAATATCATTTATACAGACTCATCGGCACCGATAACCAAAATCTGATTATATCGGTTATCGGTAATAATCCACACCAATTTCCCGGTTCCCAATTTCCTGTTTGTGGTGGGAGCAGCTGAGAAGGGTCTGAGAGCAGCCTCTAGAGGTGAAATAAAAACTATCACTGACGCCGCATGGTGTTTGTTTTGACGTGACGCTACACTCAGCACTGAGCAGAATACATTAGATGAGTATTTAAAGCCTCGACAATGAAAAGTTAAGTACACAGTACTCTGTCTAGAGAACACAGAGTCATATTTTAAAATGTAATTTGTTGACTAGATGCTGCATTAGTAGAGAACAGTGCCGACAAGGCTGAGAGGACATTAACATTAGTAGGCTGCCTCAAACGATTAGAACAAATGTGACAAAAATACATGCAAATCTGAAACAAATGTTTAAATGTCATAATTGTTACGGTCTAATTGCATTAAGCATGGGACACACAAAGCCGACTTCAACGAACTAGCGGCGACAAAAAAATGATGGTGGTGTTGCCTCGCGTTGGCTGCGTCTGGACCAAAAAGCTGCTCTTGAACACACAGCACAGACTACAGCAGGTATCAATAGTTAATATTCGTCATTCAAAAGGAGAAACCGAAACATGAACAAAGCAGCGCTTGCTTGCCATTTTGAATATCTTTTATGTTGATAACTTTCTTAATTTTAAGCGGCTCATGTTAAAGGGATACTTCAGGATTTAGCATTAGGCAAGGCAAGGCAAGGCAAGTTTATTTATATAGCACATTTCATACACAATGGTACACATTAAGCTTTGTATTAGTAGGAAACCTGTAGTATTTTCAAATTACCGTGCTTTCCACCCTCATATCCTCCTAAGACGAGAGATTTATGCATTTTTTGTCTGGAAAAAATCCTCCAATGACGCAAAAATCGTCATTTTGCGTCATCGGAGGATTTTTTGGCCAGAGGCTAAAGACTACAGTCAGTAGTAGGGGCTGTCCCGCATGTTCTCAACCCGCCCATAGAGGGTGGGATCTCACTCACAGAATGTACACATAGTGTCAGCCATCTTTTTTTGGAAGCTAAGCTAGCAGGCTCTTGTTCTGTGGAGAAAGCTGAGTAGTAGGGGTTACCATCCTCTTTTTCCCGGACATGTCCGGCCGTCGATGTCCGGGATTCAGCTTTTGCTTTCTGCAGTCGCCATTCATTGTTTACATGCACACCTTTTGTTTCAATCTAACTGAATTCATTCCGATTGGTGAATCTGAATGTAGTGTTTACATGAACGCTAAACAAGTGATCGGTTGATGTGCGTTTTAACATTGCTAAGAAAATTCCCGCTCCTCCGTGAGAGATACGAGACCGGTGCGTCTCACAGGTGTCGCTCATCGGTCATCACGCCACCGGCCTCACGCCGTTCTCCCGCGGCCCTCAGTCTCGTCCTGCTTGCCACAGTAAACATAATGAATGGCGACCGTAGAACGCAAAAGCCGAATCCCGGACATTTTGGGCGATCTCGAAACACATTTTCGGGCAGACTCATCACGGAGACTCACTAGTAGCCTAGACTTGTTGTTTAACTACTGCGCTCTGTTACCGGTAGGCGTGGCCTCCTAGGGCAGCGAAGCAAGTGCATTCTGGGAGTTTTTTGTCTTTCATCCACATAAGCCAAAAACACATTTTCTGGCTTTTCTCAGTCTAGAAAGCTCCAAATTCAAAAATAATTTCACATTTCTTCTACATAAATGACACATTTTAAATACACATTCATCTTTCCAGAGGTGAAGTATCCCTTTAATGTTTAAGCGGCTTATTAAATTATTCATATTTTGGAATGCTCGGGTGGGATAACATAACATTAGATCAGCCTTCTGTCTGTGCTGTCTTGACTTGCTCTCTTTCATCACTTACGCTTTAATTCTCGTGCAATGACTCATTCACTAAATTGAACATCCAATCAGTGTTCCCACTCTCACCGGCGGCCCCGACATGCTGAATCGGGCAAACTGCCGCCGACGTGATCCTGAAGAGAGCTAATGTGTGGAACACTGCACGCTCACCGACGACCAGGCGTCATGTGTCCCAGCCCATAGTTTATATCCAACTGAGCATGTGTATGCATTCCCTAGCTAGCTGTTGCACATTTAAAGCTAGTAATGTGAGAATGCCAATTAATATGTTCATGCAGCTGAGAGGAACTTTTAAAAAACCAGGAACGCATTTGATTTCATTTAAAAATAAACATTTTAAACTATCGGCTAATTAATCGGTTATTGGCAGGTAACTTAGTTATCGTTACCAGAAAAATTCAATATCTGTCAATCTCTAAATTTTATTAGTCTAAATTTAGGGTTTTCATTAGATTAGATCAGGGATAGGCAACTTCCTGGAGGGTCACTGTCAGGGAGAGTTTAGCTTCAATCCTGATAAAACACACCTGCCTGAAACTTTCTAGTAATCCTGAAGACCTTGATCAGAGTGATAAGGTGAGTTTTATCAGGGTTAGAGCTAATGAATGAATGAATGAAAGGGAACTTCAAGACTCACACATGCATCTTGTTGAATGCTCTGAAGGATGTGTTTAGCAGGCACCAGGAAGTCAATGATGTAGCGCAGCCCGTCCCCACGGTATGTTGTCTCGACCACGTCCAACACCTGGCATAGCACGGTGGCCGCAGTGGCTTCAAATGGAGGGTAGAGAGCAGAGAGCGTGCTCTGGATACAGCTGTCCAGAGATTCAGAGTCCTGCAGAGAAACAAACAAACAAACGCTCAGAGGAAGCACTAAAAACCTTCTTTACATTTTAACTAGTCTCAACAGTATGACCTAAATACTATAAAAAAAATTGTTACTAATACAAACAATGCTAGATGACCTCAATTGTGCTACAGAAGACTCTTAGGAAGTGAATCATCCAAGCCTGGTGTAGTCTGTCAACAGACAGACCCAGCTTTCTTTCTGCAGCGTCCACACGTGTTCTGAAAGCAGCTGATCACAATCCCTAGTGGTCTCCATCAAGAGCCTTTCACTCTGAGAAGTTCAGAGAAGAACAGCGGCCGACGGTGAAACCTGACTCTTACAGCCAGTGCAGGGAGCGACCAAAACGCTGCTAAAAATATCAGCTGCTCCAGCCACACTTCAGGAAAAAGGCCTCTAGTCTAACTTTACTGTCTATTTGCTCTTCATTAACATGATCTCTTCCTCTGCCATTCACACATTTGAGGTTGAGCTTGGGTGATACATGCATTAATTAATCCTGCAAAGAAATGATGAAATTGTTTGTAGAGTCCATCCATCTTATTCACTGCATGTCACATCACGTCTGCAACAAAACGTGCACCACTAACTTTCTTGAAAAAATGAAGTGGGCTCAACGTAATCAGTGTTGAAGCATTTCTTTGTAAATAAAGATTACGTTCACTGCAAATATAGTAGTCTACCATCAACCAACAATCATGTCAGTGCTCGCTGGGCTAACATACAGGTAAGTTCACCTGAAATCTTAGTCTTACTGTGACCAGTGTTCGTCCCTAGTGCATCTGTCTTGTTTACAGTCATCAAGTCTCTTATAAAAGACACAGTACACACCAGTACGAATATAATATTTTTTCTTGTAACTTTCACCATGTGGCCCTTTCTCAACTTTCCCTTTCTCTCTCTTGTTCTCAGTAAAACACATAAAAGCATTATTGAATTGTTTATTTCCACAATCATCCTTTTCAATCAAGCGCTATTTAATGATAGAACTTTCGTAATTAGAACTAAAACTTGGTAACCATGTATGAATGCATATTTGTCCTTTTAACTGAACTTAGGACTGGTGATGCTTAAGATATTGTCAGTCATTCAGTGTTTCTGTAAAAAAAAAATAGATCACAGTAATAGATTACTGTAAAAAGTAAAAATAGATTACTGTAATTATTATAAAAAGATAATAATAATACTAATAACAATATGCAACCCACTAAGGATTGATGAGCTGCTGGGTCCATGAATATTAATCACGTTATCAGCATTCATTCAAACTGATTTGCTGAAATCAAAACAGGGACAGAATAGATGAATGCCAGGCAATGGGATTGCTGTTTGCGCATTAGTTCCACCTACTACTGGAAAAACCGGCATATCTCAAGCTTGTTCTTAAAAGCTGAATTATTCCATATTAACTTTTCAAAAATGAAATTTTGACAGGAAAATACAACAAAGAATATTGGTTACATGTAGCGCGTCGATTCTGCTTGCAATGTAAGACTCTCGCTCTCTCAGCAAAGCGACGGCGATACGTGCGCTTTTAGAGTTTATGGTACGTAAATACAGGTAACCTACACATCCATTGAGCTGCATTGAAATAGTACAGAATCTACAGAAAGCATGACGGAGAGCGAGTGAAGATTTAGTCCCATGTGCGAGTGATTTACTCGCATTGTAGAGGGTTGTTATGAGAGAAAGAAAGATAAAGAACATGGGAACGAACAAACTGGAAAACAACTTGGCACAGGTGCAAGCAAAGCAGACGCACAGGTGCACTGTGGGTCCAGCATTAAACAGGGTATGAGAGATTAAAGATGTCATGTAAGAGGACTGAGAAAGACCTTCTTGCACCCAAAACACTAACAGTTACAAGAAAACAATGTACCAGAGAGGTTTCCAAAAGGGGGATGTGGACCCAGCAACAGTATTAAAGAGATGATTGGGATACACACAATGAAAGGCACTAAGGCAACAAAAACTCAATGTTACATTTTTACATTTTAAATTGAGAAATTACATTTTAATGAACAGAAATTATTGACAGAAAAAGCGACTACACTTTATTTTGAAAGTCAAAGGTCAGCCTAACGGTAAACTAACAGTACAAACACAGTGTGATACATACATAGATACAATAGTGTGATGTTCACATACAGGTATTTTTTGGCAGGTGAAGATTACTAATGTCTGTAGTTTGAAGAATCAACAAAAGTTAATGACTGATAGAGTCCAACAAAGACAAACAATAATTTTCTCATTATAAAGGGAAGACTAAAGTGAAGCAGCAGGTTAAGTAAGGGCATCATGCTTTTCAACCTAACTGCTGCAGTGTGTGTGTGTGTGTGTGTGTGTGTTAGGGATGCTCATTTCGGTTAATTTTCCCGACCGACAACCGCCACTCGTTATCCGAGTATTAACCGTTAACTGATAAGATTATAATAGCCTATTGAATTAAATAAAAATAAAATTGCCGAGTGTCTATGACCCGTTAAAAATAAAAAATAAAAATGTTCACTGGTTTATTTGGCACCGATGGCACAGATGTCCCGGGAATACAGAGATAACGTCTCGCTAGAATGGCCAGCTTCGGGAAGCGACTTTCATTTGCTTGTGGATGTTTGCTTCGCAAGTGATATTGCATTGTACTTGTAACTACTGCTGTACTTGTAACTAACTACTGCTGTATTTTAATACCGAGTAGCATATTGTGCAAGTAACATCGTCACCTTTTCTGTCTAAATGGTCCCACACAGTACTTCTTTTCGCTCGCTCGCTTCATTTTGCTTGCTCAGCGAAATATGTCTGTAGCTGCCACGTGTGGTTGCGCGTGTCGACGCGCCCCGTGAGTTAACAAATATAGGCTATATAGTATTTTTTATAGTATTTTTTTAACCATGCAGCAAAAAAAAAAAAAAAAAAAAAAAAAAAAAAATTTAACTGTTAAACCGTTTAACTGATGATATTAATCGGTCAAAATGTTTACTTTCGGTTAACGGTTAAACGGTCAATATGAGCATCCCTAGTGTGTGTGTGTGTGTGTGTGTGTGTACTTAAAGTGATTTAAATTAAAGTCTTAACATAATTTAAATTTAGTTATATTAACATAATATTAATTAAAATGATAAAGAAATACTGTAAAGCAAAAGTCAAATAAAGATGTATAACACTAAACTGACATATTTTTGAGATTATTTATTACAACAGAAGTACGAGAGAGATGCGTGGATGGGCTATTATTTCTTCCGCAACCGCATCACAAATCTCATCATCTGTCCGCCATCCATCCGCACCAACGTTTTTGACCAATTTTCAAAACCGCACCCGCCCGCCATCCGCTGATTGGGCGATACAAGGCGCTGTTGATGACTAGAAAGCTCTCAGAATATCAGCAGTGAACTTTGTCTCCGATCGGCGCGCAGGGACAAAAATAAATAAATAGCCTAAATTAAACGCACTTCGGCAAACCTGACCTTATCTGATAGGCTACTGTACAATATTTTCATTGTAGCCTAATAGAAAACGCATTTTGGCACATAATTTCAACATGCTGCTATTGTATCCTCATCAGCCACTTGAAGGGCCATTTCTCTGCACATTCCTTGCGTTTCTTCTCCATCGACCTGACTATTTTGACAGATACCCACTGACACTGCTCGCTCACTCAGAGCTCAAAGGGGGAGGTGTTTAAAGATGTGATTGGACCAGCCCAGTGTCAATCAAGAAAATAACCAATGGGCCGCTGATCTACGCGTTTCATGTGCCGGTCTGTAAAAAAAAAAAAAAAAAAAAAAAAAAAAAATCTACGCTGACTTTTTTGTCCAATGCATTACACCGGCACAAATATCCCACCGCCTCCAATTAAGCAAAACTTAACGAAATGGGCTGCCGATGTACGAGTTTTATGGGCCGTTCAAACAAGGGCCCACAAAGCAGGTCGGCCAACCGGGAAAATGCCCGGTATGCCCAATGGCCAGTCCAGCAGTCTCTCTCCAGGTTTCTCCTCCACTGAAAATGGGGTTTGTAATGCGTCTTTAGATTCAGCTAATAGCAAATAAAAGAGAAGTGTCTAGCCTCAAGAACCGAGGAGTTCTCAACCAATTATTTCCATCAACATTTTTAGATGATTGAAGGCCAGTTTTTTATCTGCAAGACGGGCTTCAAAAGCAGGAGAAAGAGTGGTTTTCCTCTCAAACAGTTCCGACCGAGGTGCCAAGAAGGCATCAATCAAAGAGCAGGCTCTGGAGCTTGGGGAAAAGCTCTCTTGAGACCCACAGAAATCCTGCAGACTCTCTCCACTGAATAATGCATAACATAATTAGGACTCCCATTTAAACCCGCGCAGTAACACACACCACCCATCACCATAAGCAAAAGCAATTTAATTTTCCCAAGAGCCGTCACTCCAGCTAAAGCAAGTCAAATCGAGGCAAAGAGTGTCACGGCATGCGAAAAAGATGTTGATTAGAGCAGGCTGTGGTTTCATCTACTTATCATGACTAATGCTCAGTCATGAGTCTGACCGCTTGTAGTGTGTTGACTCAGGAAGGAAGAAGAATCAATGCAGACTTCCTTTCTCAAATAGTGTAAAAGCAAACATTTCCCAGAGAAAGTCAAATATTCCACATTCCTTCTCCATTTTTACCTTTTAAAGGTAAGAAACCACAGCTTAAGCTTTTCCTGTCAGTGAGCTGAATGGGAGACCCTAGAAGGGCTCAGTTTGAGAGAGGAGAGGGATTTACTGTTAGTCTACAGCAGACGGTTTAATTTCCTCCAGATCTAAATGGCCACACAAGCTGCTCATCCCTCTCCCTCTTTTTATCACTCATCTTGGTCTTTTCTCTAAGGCATTAGTGAGACAAGTTGGAGAGATTTGGGTCTACAATGGTATCATTCTGCAAAGATCCATAGTCATGACTACAGGATAAACACTGTGTCTCATGAATTTGTGTGAGTGCACTGTAACACACTTTTTCAGAGGGACAGTCTATGGTTTT